ATTTGGCTGAGATTCAAGGTTTAAACCCCACCAAAGCAAGACTCATTCAAGGGAGGTAAGAAAAAGTGCCCACAACAAGCTGGTCAAAGAAGCTAGTAAGGAAGCAAATAACAGCTTTACTTGACATGGGATGGGGTGTCTTGGGAAGAAAGAAATAGGGAATCTTATGCAGCGTTAGTAAAGAGGTACAGGACACTGAAACCTCATCGACAATGTAATAGAAAAGATCCTGAAGAAAATAAGGTCCCAGACATGAGGAAAGGGCCAAAAAAAAAGCTATGCCCCTCTCTTGCTGCCTAGTAGATGCCTGAACTTATAAGGGACTAGGAATGGGGCCAAAATTCCCCAAGAGTAAGGGGGATGAGGGAGACTGGAGGCCACATATAGGAGTTACCTGTTCTTGATCTAGTTTATGTGAATGGTAATAGGGCTACTGAAGGTTGTGTTACAAATAGGGCATTCACCCCCACAACATGCTGTGTATATTTCACCAATCCCTAAAACTGTTAAAGGAATAGATTTATTATTGGGGGTAGCCTTGCAAACTATTATGGGGGAATTCTGGTTACAGGTCTGAGGGGTAAAAGCATTTTGTCAAATGGACACCTACCTCCTTCCACCACCACAGAAAGTGATAAACATTAAATAATACAGGCACCTGGGAGGGCACCAGGAAATATCAGAAACAATTCTGGAATTGGCTAAAGTAAATATCATAAGGCAGACCCAGAGCCTTTTTTTGTTTTTTATTTATTTAATTAAAATTTTTTTTTATTTTAAATTTTTATTTTTTTCCCAGAGCCCTTTTAATAGTCCAGTGGGGCCTGTGAAAAAATCCACTGAGACTTACAGAATGACAGGAGACTGTTGTAAATAACAAGATCACTCCCCTAATACATGCTGCTCTCTCAGATAGATTTACTCCTCTCTTCAAGAGACTGACCAGAAAAGTGGGGCTATGGCACGTTATACCAGATCTAGCAAATGCTTTTTAAATTTATTTTTCAGTATTCCCTTAGCAGAGGAATCACAGGAGCAGTCTGCATTCACGTGGGATGGATAGCATGGATTTTCCAGGTCCTACCCCAAAGATACATACTGTAAGACATAGTCTGTTCGCACACAATCTGGACACCATCCCAGCCCTTGTGGGTATCCACCAGGAACCTATATTGATGGTATTATGCTAATATCTGATGATTTGCCTTTACTACAGCAACATTTTGAACAGCTGCATGATATTTCCCTCAAATAAACTCTAGCAAAGTGCAAGAACCAGGACATACTGTGAAGTTCCTAGGTATGGCATAGTCAGGTAACAAAATTCAAGATTTCCTTGCTCTTACTACTGTTAAAATATTGCAGACCTTTTTGGAATTGTTGGGATACTGGATGGATACTCCATCTTGCTTGGTGTTTATGTCCTGCATATGCCATTCTAAGGAAGGGAGTGAGAATGCGTAATGGCCAACAAGCTGCCTTTACTGAAGTGAAGGTGGCATAATTTAGCACATTACATGCCACAAACCCTAGTCTCCCATACAAATTAGATGTTGCTACATCTAATGAGGGATTTAATTGGGCTCTGTGGCAGTGCAGCCAACCTAGAGCATGACAATCCCTTGGATTCTGGTCACAACTGTTCAAGGGATCTAAAGGCAGCATATTTTTCCAGAAAAACAATTATTAGCTGCCTTTCTAGCCTTACAATAATGTTGAAACGATTATGAGAGTCCCCTGTGATCCTTTGAATATCTCTACCATAAAGGGATGGAATGACAATAGTTTGACAAAGGCCACTTCTGTTTTACTCCAACAGAGCTCTCTGTCCAATAGCCCTTTAAGCACTGAATTACAAACCCTTTTAGGCCCAGTACAATGTATGGAGTTAGAACCAGGGGAACCAATCCCTCCTCCTGTAACTCTTCTCACTAAGGTAAAATGAGTTGAGGGAGCCTCTCCAAATGATGCCTATTTATAGTGATGATTCTGCTCATGGGCAGCCCTCCAGTTGGGTAACAGTAGCCATTTAGCCTAAAACAGACACCATATAGCTTGATCAATGCAAAGATTATAGAAGCCAGTGGCATGATCTCAGGGCTCTGTGGATGGTACTTATGGGAGAGGACCCTCTCTTAACTATATGTATAGCGTACTGGGCAATAAGGGAGGACTTAGTTCAATGGTGATGGTGGGTGGGGAGGACAACCAAATGATTAATGCCACCATTATGGGGACAAAACATGTAGAAAGATAGATGGAAATAATACAAACTCTAGGTTTCCTCCTAAAACATATTGAGGGTGACACTTTATCTGCTCAAGATAAACAGATACCCCCTTCAGACATATCTGTGTGTATCAAGACAAACCACAGGGGTGTTGACTCCACATTAGCATGTACATAGAAATGTCCCAGAAGATGTTGGATGAAAGAGGCAAGAAATGTCCCAAATGCCAATTACATGGTCAAGCTCAGCCCCTACCAATAGGAAAATGATACATAAAACAAGGATTAAAAACCTAGTGAAACAAGGTAAATAGATTATATGAGATCCCTCACCAAGAGTCGAGGAGCAGCATATGCTCTAACACACATAGGTAGAGTTAGTGGTGTATTGCAGGCTTTTCCTGTAAAGACAGCAAGACAAGAATCCAGTATTTTGTTGTTCAGTATTTCAGTCATGTCCGACTCTTTGTGACCGCATTTGGGGTTTTCTTGACAAAGATACTGGAGCAGTTTGACATTTCCTTCTCCAGCTCCAGGAAACTGAGGCAAACTGGATTAAGTGGCTTGCCCAGTGTCACACAGCTAGTGTCTGTGAGGCCAGATTTGAACTCAGGAAGAAGAGTCTTGACTCCAGGCCCAGAACTCTATCCACTGTGCCACCTAGCAGCCCAAGCATCCACTATAAAAGGCCTAAAATGCCTTTATAGCCATGTATTGTATACCCATAGAGTTCGTTAGTGAACAAGGATATCATTTTATGGGTAATGATGTTGCTTGATGGGCAGAGCAAATAAATGGAATTTCTATTTAGCCCTACAGAAGCAGGATTAATAAAATGGAAAAAAAAAACCCAGGTTTTGTTAGAATTAGAATTTTAGATTAGATTAGAATTAGATTAAAATTAGAATTTTAACTGGGTGGAATCTAAAAAAAGTGTACTCTGGTTTTAGAGGATGCTTTTGCAATATGAAATGAAAAAATCAAGTGAGTGGGTTTCCTAGGTACTGCCTAAAGAAATACGTATAAATTATTCTATATTGCTAAATGCTGGAAGGCTACACCCTCTTCCATCATGTGCTTATAGGATGTTACAAGAAAAACAGAGCTGATCTTTTGATCAGAAGGATGACCTGTATGGTATAAACTACGCAATGAACGAAGGTGAAAGCAGAAGTTATGGCATCTGTCAGTGAAGCCACCAGTATTACTACTATGATAGAGAGACATGATGTTCCAAATATTGTTACTAACTGCAGTTTTTGCTCATTGAATATTAGGTTTGTCCATCTGGCTATCGCATTATTATTTTAATGTAACTTGACTCTCCACATCAATGCCAATTGGGGATAGGAAAACCAGTATATACATTGGGTGCTCCATATAGCACATGAGGAGCATAGCTACAGTTGCTGGATCTGCATGGCTATGCCTATCCATGGTCAGGGAGGAACACCTTGGAAAGTTGAACCACTGAGAGCCAATAAGTTGCTATTACTTTGAGATTTTTGTTAATGAAACTAAGACCAGGCAATGTGCTGTAAATAATGTTCCAAGGCCACGATTATGTCCATAGAGATATGGAACAAGATAATTTGTGCACTTAGATATAAGAATCGTCTCTAGATGGGACAGATGGTGGAAACAACTACTTGCTACCGTACTTGCATTGTATACTCTTCCCTTATGCTATGCATGTGCTTATACTGTTGGTGTGCTGCGTACTTACAATTTATGAATATCATGATAACTAAGACCATAAGACTCCTATTATGTAGTCCCTCCATGGAGTCCTAGATGCATCATGGAAGAGGTGAGCACTAAGATTGTACAGGTCAACCGTGAAAGGGTGGATTGTGGGTTAAATTTATCAGGATTGCAATTAGGGAATTTGTGGATTAAATGGATTATATTTGCAGTAGGGGCAAGAAAGTCATAAATATTCTAGCTAGGTCAAGAATGATGTGTGGCTGGCAGCCAACTCCATCTTAGTTGAACATTTACACATCCTGTTATTTTGGCCAAGCTCCCCCTGCACATCCTGCATTTTCTTAAACCACTCCCTTATTAAGCAGTTTCAGTAAAAAAGTATATAAATCGTTTATGAACAAAGCCTATGTATGGACCTATCCCCTGGTGCTTCTTGTATGTTTCAAGGTGTTATCATTAGGGGCTCCTGCAAGGACATCCCCTAATAAAAGGTAGACTGATCATCCTGGCTTTGCATGCCTCTTTCTTCTGATTTCTTGCATCAAAAGTAGATGAAACAGGGTGCTTTGGTGCCCTGGTCTGCAACATAGCCATATCAATGGGTCAAAGGGTATATACAATTTAATAGCTTTTTGGGCACAGTTCCACATTGCTTTTTATAATGGTTGGATTAGTTCACAGCTTCCTCATCCTCTCCAGCATTTGTCATTTTCCTTTTCTGTCATGTTAGCCAGTCTGATGCATGTGACGTGGTACCACAGAGTTGTTATAGTTTTCATTTCTCTTATCCATAGTGATTTTGAGTATTTTTTTAAAAGGAATTGTTCAATTTTTCTTCTATCTCTCTTATTTGACTTTTAAAAGCCTTCTTGAGCTCTTCCAAGAAGGCTTTTTGGACTTGAGATCAGTTCATACTGCCCTTTGAGGTTTTGGATGTGGGTATGTTGACAATGCTGTCCTCTCCTGAATTTGTGTTTCAATCTTTTCTGTGGTCATTGTTTTTCTTTGTTGCTTCTTGTTCGTGGTGTTTGCCTTTTTTCCTGGCTTTTAAAGTTGATCCCTACTTCTGGGGCACCAAAGGGCATTGTTCCAGGCTTCTTGTGCTGGGGGCTAGGGGCTTGGTTCCTGGTTTTGTGTTCTGGGGCTTCAGGTGTTGGCAGATGGAGGCTGGAGACAGCTGGTAGCTCACCTAGTGCTGAGCTGGAGCTGGTGGTGTGGCTGCTGTGTGTCTGGTGTTGGCGCTTGCCTGCTCCACAGCCCTGGGGCTCAGGATCTCCCATTGGTTTGCTGAGGTGGGGCTTGCCTCTGGCTTGCTGGGATGCCTCCCATCATGTACTGGTCCCCTTCAGCCACAGCAAGAGGGACCTCTCCCGTTAATCCCCCTAGCTTCCCGAGTTAAAAGACTGCTGCACACAATCTCATTGCTGGCTCCACTATTTCAGGATTTTTCCTGGGGCAATATTCTCTGGGTTTTTCAAGGTCAATAAAAGAGGGTGAGAGAGACTTATTGCTTACTCCACCGTTTTGGCTCCTGGAACTTGAGTATTTTTTAATATGGCCATTGATAGCTTGGATTTCTTCCTCTGAAAATTGCCTATTCAGATTCTTTGACCCTTTTTCAATTACAGAATGGCTATTATTATTTTAAATTTGGCTCGGTTACCTATATGTTTGTGAAATGAAATCTTTATTAGAGAAACTTGCGGCAAAGTTCCCTTCCCTAATTTTCTGGTTTTCTTCTAATTTGAGATGCACAGGCTTTGCTTGTGCAAAAACTTAAAATTTTTTGTAATTAAAAATGTTCATTTTCTCTTCTGCAAACCTCTTTATTTCTTGTTTGATCATGGACTCTTTTCCAACTACAACTCTGACAGATTTCACTAACTTGCTTATAACACCATTTATGTCTAAATCATGTACCTATTTTGAACTTATCTTTCTAAGGAGTGAGAGATGCTGGTTTCTTCTTAGTTTTTGCTAGACTGCTTTCCATTTTTCCCTAGAATTTTTGTCAAGTAGTGAGTTCTTGCTTTAAGAGTAGGGATCTTTGGATTTATCAAACACTAGGTTACTAAGCTCATTTGCTTCTGTATACTGTGAACCTAATCTATTCCACTGATCAACCTCTTTATTTTTAACCTAGTACCAAATTGTTTGATGATTATGACTTTGTAGTATAGTTTGAGATCTGGTACTGCTAGATTGCCTTCTTTTCTATTTTCTTTTCATTGATTCCCTTGATAGACTTGACCTTTTATTCCTCTGGATGAATTTTTTTTCTCCTAGCTCTATAAACTAATCCTTTGATATTTTGATTGCATGGCATTAAATAAATCAGTTAATTTAGGCAATGTCATCATTTTTATGGTATTGGGTCAAGCTAACCATGGACAATTAATGTTTCTCTAATTATTTATATCTGTATTTCTGTGAAATTTTTAAAATTATATTCATATAATTCCTTTGTGTGTCTGGACAGGTAGACTCCCATATTTTATAATGTTTGTAGTTACTGTAAATGGAATTTCTCTTTCTAACTCTTCTTCCTGGGTTTTGTTGGTAGCATATAGAAATATCAATGATTTGTGTGAGTTCATTTTACATCGTGCATTTGCTCATGTTATTATATCAATCAGTTGTTGTTGAAGCTCCAGAGTTCTCTCATTAAATCATCATATCATCTGCAAAAAGTTTTGTTTCTTCCTTCCCAATGCTTATTCTTTTTTTTTTTTTATCAATCTGCTTGAATCATTTCTTTTTTGCTTTTTGGGTGAGGCAATTGGGGTTAAGTGATGTGCTCAGGATCACACAGCTAGTGAGTGTCAAGTGTCTGAAGCCGGATTTGAACTCAGGTTCTCCTGACTCCGAGGCTGGAGCTCTATCCACTGTGCCACCTAGTTGTCCCCCTCCCAATGCTTATTTTTAAAATTTATTTTCCTTCTTTTATTGCTACAGGTAGAATTTCTAGTGCAATATTGAGTAGCAATAGTGATTATGTATATTTTTACTTCACATATGATTTTAATGGAATGACTTTTCATCTATTCCCATTACAGATAATGCTTACTCTTGGTTTTGAATAGATACTGCTTATCACATTAAGGAAAGTTTCATTTATTCCTACGCTTTTCAGAGTTTTTTTTTTTAAATTTTTAACATTCATTGAAAAAAATTGAATTCAAATTGTCTCCCAATTTCTTGCTCCTTCCCCTCACGTTGAGAGGGTAAATAATATGATATCAATTATACCTGTGAAATCACGCAAAACAAATTTTCATATTAGCCATGGTAAAAAAAAAAAGCAAGAAAAATAAAGTTTGAAAAGGTTTGCAGATTGACAGCACCCACAGCATTTTTTATCATGGGCCCTTTGGAAGTATCTTTGATCACTGTATTGATTAGGGTAGCCAAGTCTTTCACATGTTATCATCATAACCAAACTATTACTGTGCAGGATGTTCTCCTGGCTCTGCTCACTTCATTTTGCATCAGTTCCTATAAGTGTTCCCTAGTTTTTTTCTGAAATCATCCTCTTTGTCATTTCTTATAGTAAAGTAGTATTCCATCACAACCATATACCACAACTTGTTCAGCCATTCCCCAGTGGGTGGACATTCCTTCAATTTTCAATTCTTTGCAACCACAAAAAGAGTTGCTATAAATATTTTTGTACATATAGGTCTTTGCTCCCTTTTTTGGATCTCTTTGGGATATAGACCTACAAATGGTATTGCTTGGGTAAAAGGATATGCAGTTGTATAGCCATTTGGTTATAGCTCTAAATTGTTTTCCAGAATGGTTGGACCAGTTCATAACTCCACCAACAGCGTGTTACTGTATTTATCTTTCCACATCCCCTTCAGTATGTGTCATTTTCCTTTTCTGTCATGTTAGACAATCTGATAAGTGTGAGAAGTGGTACCTTAGAGTTGTTTTAATTTGTATTTCTCTAACCAATAAGGAGTTACAGCATTTTTTTTTCATATGACTACTCATAGCTTTGATTTCTTCTGAAAATTGTTCATAACTTCTGACCATTTATCAATTGGGGAATATTTCTTATTTTTATGATTTTGTCTCAGTTCCCTATATAGTTGAGAGATGAGGCCTTTATCAGAGAAACTTACTGAAATGCTATCCACATCCAAAAGAGAGAACTATGGAGTGTGCAGATCAAAGCATACTATTTGTTATTTTTTTTCTTCTGTTGAGTTTTGTTTCCTCTTTATGGTGGTTCCTCCTATTGGTTCTAATTCTTATTTAGAACATCACTAATGTGAAAATATGTTTAATAGGAATGTATATGTATAGCCTATATCAGATTGTGTGCCATCTTGGGGAGGGTGGTGGGGAGGAAGGGGAAGAAAAATTTTAAACTCAAAAGCATATGGAAGTGATTGTTAATAAATCAAAATAAATTAATAAAAAAAAGAATAGCAGAGAAACTTACTGTAAATTACTTCTATGTATTATGTACTTACATAATCTATTCCACTGAGCCAGTACTCTATTTCTTAACTAGTGCCAGCTTTTTTTTTTTTTGATGATTACCTCTATTCAGCTCTGGTCTTTTGTCAGAAATATTTTAAAGGTCTCTATTTCATTAAATATTCATTTCCCCCCCTGAAGGATTGTACTAAGTTTTGCTGTGTAGGTTATTCTTGGTTGAAATCCTACCTACTTTGTCATATAAAATATGATTTCCAAGACTTCTGCTACTTTAACATTATTGTTGTTCAGTCATTTCTGACACTTTGTGACCTCATTTGGGATTTGTTTGGCAAAGATACCAGAGTGGTTTGCTATTTCCTTCTCCAGCTCATTTTATAGATGAGGAAACTAAGGAAAATAGAGTTCAATGACTTACCCAGGGTTACACTGCTAGTAAGTATCTGAAGCCTGATTTGAACTTGAGAAGATGGGTCTTCCTGACTCTAGGCCCAGGACTCTATCCATTGTGCCACCTAATCGTCCTGATGTGGTACCTGCTTAATCTTGTGTAATCTTGACTGTGAGTCTATGGTATTTGAATGGTTTCTTTCTGGCTGCTTGTTATATTTCCTCCTTGAATTGAGAGCTCTGGAATTTGACTATAATATTTTAGGAGTCTTTATTTTGGTGTCTCTTTCAGGAGGTGATCAGTAAATTCTTTTGATTTCTATTTTCCCCTCTCTTCCTAGGACATTGGGCAATTTTCCTTTCCAAGTTCTTGAAATACGATGCCTAGGCTTTCTTTGATCATAGCTTTCAGGCATTCCAGTAATTCTTAAATTATCTCTGTTTGATCTGTTTTCTTTCAGTCATTTGTTTTTCAGAGATATTTCACATTTTCTTCTATTTTCTCATTCTTTTGACTTTTTTCTTGATTTCTCCCGGAATCATTAGCTTCCACATGCTCAATTCTAATTGATAAGGAATTATTTTCTTAAATGAGATTTTGTACCTTTTTTCATCTCCCAATTTTATTTTTTAAGGTGTCATTTTCTTCAGTATTTTTGTACCTCTTTTACAAGCTGTTGCCATTTTATAATTTTCTTGCATTGCTCTCATTTCTTTTCCCAATTTTTCCTCTATTACTCTTATCTGATTTTGACCATTTTAAAAAAGTTCTCTCAGGAATTCTTGTTGGCCTTGTGTCAAATTCAAATTTTTCTCTGAGGCTTTGCTTGTAGCTGTTTTGACTTCATTGTCTTCTTCTGAGCCTGTGTGTTTTTTCTTTACCTATCTTTTCCTCCCTTTAATCCTTTTTTTTTTTGGTTTATTTTATTGTTATTGCTAGAATTTCCAGAACTAGATCAAATAATAGTGGGCATCCTTGATTCACTCTGGTTATTAACTGGAAAAGGTAGTAGCATGTCCTCATTGTATACAATACTTGTTTGAGTTTTAGATATATGCCTTTCCATGCTTTTTAAAAAAAGGTCCTTCAATGCCTATACTTCATAAGTTTTTTTTTTTTAAGCTTAAGAGTATTGTACTTTGTCAAAGGCTTTTTTTCTGTACCTATTAAAATGATCACATGATTTTGGATGTTTTGGTTTTTAATGATTAATTATATTTATTGTTTACCTAATGTTGAACTATCATTGTACTCCTGATATAAATCCCACTTGGTCATGATGAATGATTTCTTGGATAATTCATTGTAATCTATTTGATAGGATTTTGTTTAAAATTTTTGAGTCAATATTCATTAATGATATTGACCTATAGTTTTCTTCTCATGTTTTATCTTTTCCTGGTTTAGGTATTAAGACTATATTTGTCTTATAAAGGAATT